TCCTTCCTTCCTTCCTTCCTTCCTTCCTTCCTTCCTTCCTTCCTTCCCTCCTCCTCCCTTCCTCCTCCTTTTCTTTCTTTCTTTCTTTCTTTCTTTCTTTCTTTCTTTCTTTCTTTCTTTCTCTCTTTCTCTCTTTCTCTCTTTCTTTTCCCTTTCTGTTAAGGAATGAATAGGTGCAAGTGTTTCAAGCTCCTTTTGAACAAGGATGGAAAAGTAAAACCATTTAAAGTGATGTAAATGAAATTAGAAATGGTCATTCAGTTGTCCGGATTGCTTGGTTGGAAGCTGGAAGGGGCAAGAATTGTGGGAAGTTTACTTTCAGGCAAAACTAGGCCCAAAGCCACCCATGTGACAGCACAAACAGATCAAAGTATTTCCCACCCAGCAAGCCAGGTGAGATTCTGAGGACAACTGCAGATATGACTTGGAAGACAGAAAAGAGCCTTGGAACCGACATTCCTTCTAAGCAGAGTGAATGCTCAATTTGATTTCCCGCTCTAGAAAATTTAGTTTTAGAAATTTTAGTTGCCTGAGACACCTAGAAAATGTTGTCTTGAGAAATAGAAGTTAGGGCACTCATGTTCAGATGTTTGTGGAAGATGGACCTTTCTTTTTTTCTTTCATTCCTTTTTTCCTTCTTTCCTTCTTCCTTCCTTCCTTTCTTTCTTCTTTCTTTCTTTTTTCAACTATTATGCTAGAGATAGAGAGAGGGAGAGGGACAGCTCTGAGCAAGAGGAAGGTCTAAGTCTTGAAATTCCCCTTTGACTGTAGAAGGTGGTCTTTATACTGTTCCTTCAGCATTAAAGTGCTCTGCGCCCCGCCCCCCGCCCAAGCCCGCCGGCCCCGGCTACCCGGCTCCATCGGATCACCGCTGCAGAGGACAGCGAAGAGGCGCAGCGTGCTCCCCAGGCACCCAGAGATCCGGGGATCTCCCTTGAACACAGACCCAGCAATTACTATTACCGCTCTTGCAAGCCTCATCTACACAGCCCTGTCACTGGGAATGAGCCTGCGTTGCCCTCTGCTGGCCACAGCCGTGAGCCACACCCACTCGGTGTCCGGAGGCGGAGCATTGCTCAAGTCCCGCCCCTCCACCCGGAGGCCCCGCCTCCGCAGCGCGCTCGCCCGCGCATCCCCGCCCCCTCGCCGACACCACGTTCCTGCGGGGGCGCGCGCGCGCTCCTAATCCCCTGCCTTCCGGCTCGGCCGCGCAGCTCCGTCGCGCGCTCGGTCTGCGGCGGCCGGCGGGGTCGGCTTCGCTGGGGACCTCCATTGCTGGCCCTAGGCTCCGGCCGGTGAGGCGGAGCGGTGCCCGCGCCCCGCTTCCCGAAGTCCCGCGCGCCCGGTGACCACTCGCCCGCTGCAGGGCTGCGGCCGTGACCCACTGCCGCCGACTTTCACCCGGCGTCCGGCGCGGAGCTCGCTGGCCGGCGGGGAGAGGCCCTGGTAGTGTCAGGAGGTAGGCTCTCAGTTCCCGGGTGGTGCCTGCGAGCGTTGTCTGTTACCCGGCAGGTGGTGATGTCCTCGACACTGTCGCAGGGGTAGGTATGAGTAATACCGTGGACTGATACTGAAAAGAAAACGTGTTTGATATTTTCCTATAGGTTTCAGAGGCTCGAGTACCTCTACCGCCCGAGCAGCTACTTCTGTGGTCTTGGAGATCATCTTCCACCAAGATTACTGTACGGTGTTCACCCAGCCTACCACCCCCTAGTTGCAGCCTTGGGTCCTGATTTCCACCAATGAAGTTTTTTATCCTTCCTTGAACCATGTGACATCACTTCTTGTCCGCTGTTTCCCTTTCAGTTGCCAAATCATTAGCTATAAGTTCCTGTCGGTTGAAAGTACTGAGTTGTTTGCCTGTCCACTTACAGTCCGACTGCTCACCTCCCCTCGCTATGATTTTCGTAGGTACTCACCTGAGTCCTTGCCTTGAAGAGAGCATTCACTCACTTGGCTCTCCGACAAAGACAACAGCCAGGCAGTGAGTCTCCTTGCTCTGTTTTTTCTGTATGTCAAGTTTGCAAACCTGAGTAAAACTATTTACTAGCACATGGCATAAGAAAAAAGAAAACAAATCCTGCAGTTATGGCAAACGTTGATCATCCTGAGAGTGTTGTAGAAACCTCAGCAGGGTAGTATTGATTCAACATATAGCTTCCTGTAAGCTGCAACTTATGAAAAGAACAAGGAGGAAGAAGAGAAAATAGGGTTAATTCTTTGTCATAGGGACTGGTTAAGTTCTAAAACGCAAATGAAGAGACTCAGATTTTTTTGAAAACTGTTGCACCATCCGAGTCTTGGGGAACAACTGAGGGCTTTTAAGGCCCCATTTTCTAGTCTCTTTGTTCAAACCTAAGTTGTTAATTGTCTAAAACATTAAAATGTTGGGGAAACGTAAACGTGTGGTGTTGACAATTAAAGACAAACTTGACATTATTAAGAAACTTGAAGAAGGCAACTCTTTCAAAAAACTTTCTGTTCTGTATGGAATTGGTGAATCCACAGTTCGTGACATTAAAAAAAACAAAGAAAGAATTATAAACTATGCCAACAGTTCAGATCCTATTAGTGGAGTGTCCAAACGGAAATCTATGAAGTCATCAACTTATGAGGAGCTTGATAGAGTTATGATAGAATGGTTTAATCAACAGAAAACCAATGGGATTCCAGTGTCTGGGACTATCTGCGCAAAACAAGCCAAGTTCTTTTTTGATGCATTGGGTATGGAAGGTGATTTTAATGCCTCATCTGGCTGGCTAACTAGGTTTAAGCAGCGCCATGGTATTCCAAAGGCTGCTGGTAAAGGAACAAAATTAAAAGGGGATGAAGCTGCTGCCAGTGAATTTTGTGGTAACTTTCAGGAATTTGTGGAAAGAGAAAATCTCCTACCAGAGCAAATATATGGTGCTGATCAAACAGGATTGTTCTGGAAATGTCTACCCTCAAGGACATTGGCTTTTGATGCTGACCAGAGTACTTGCGAGTACAGGACAAGCAGAGAAAGAATCATTATTATGTGTTGTGCAAATGCCACAGGCTTACACAAGCTTAATCTTTGTGTTGTGGGGAAAGCAAAGAGACCCCGTGCATTCAAAGGAACTGACCTTTCAAATCTTCCTGTCACTTACTTCAGTCAAAAGAGTGCATGGATCGAGCCATCTGTGTTCAAACAGTGGTTTGAGAAGTGCTTTGTGCCACAAGTGCAGAAACATCTGAAATCCAAAGGGCTTCGAGAAGAAGCAGTACTGCTTTTAGATTTTCCCTCGGCACATCCAACTGAAGAACTGTTGTGTTCAGATGATGGCAGAATAATTGTGAAATATTTACCACCAAATGTCACAAGTCTGATTCAACCTATGAGCCAAGGAGTTTTAACCACAGTCAAAAGATATTACCGAGCAGGACTTATCCAGAAATATATGGATGAAGGAAAGGACCCAAAAATGTTTTGGAAGAATTTGACTGTGTTGGATGCAATTTATGAGGCATCAAGAGCCTGGAACATGATAAGAGCAAATACCATAACCAAAGCTTGGAAAAAACTGTTCCCTGGCAATGAAGAAAATTCAAAGATGAGCATTGATGAAGGAGCCATTTTAGCAGCTAATTTAGCAACGGTTTTACAGAATACAGAAGACTGTGAACATGTTAACATTGAGAACATTGAGCAGTGGTTTGACGCTCAGGGCAGTGGCTCAAACTGTCCGGTGTTAGCTGACATTGTAGGTGCTGAAGACCAGGCACCTACTTTTGCTGCTGAGCAAAAGCCTTCCAGGAAGACTAGGAAGGCAGAACTGAATCCAGAGAAGTATATTAGCCATAAAGTTGCACTCGAATGGACTGAAAATTTGCTGGATTATCTAGAACAACAAGATGACATGCTACTTTCTGATAAGCTGGTATTACGGAGGCTTCGGACCGTTATAAGACGAAAACAAAGGATTCAAAATAAAAGTCATCTATAGGACTCCCTTCTCTTGCTATGTATATTCATCTCTGTGACGTTTGTCTGTAGTGGAATTTATCTAAAGCCAAATAAATGTTACAGATGATTTTAGAATTAGATGCTGTTTTGGATTACTTAAATTACAGCTCTTTAACGTTGGCTCTGATTGAGCAGTGGCGTGAAATTCATTTGTTGGTGTCTAAACTGTCATTCTAACTAGATCATAAGACACTGAAGCCTGGGACACATTGTATGCTGCATTTCAACATGTCTAGTGATGGGCCATGAGCACTGTAGGCACTCAATAAATTATCTACTGAAATTGAACTTTGGTGACTTCTTCTGAATGCCAGTTTCTAAAGTAAGGTATACTGGTGGATGAGTTTATATTTCTTTTAGTGAGACTTTTAAGAGAGTTCTGCAAAGACTGTGCTTGAAAGATTTTACTGTGATTTTGTTGAACTATATAATAATAGTGTAGAGCCTTGTCTGGCAAAATTCAGGCAGCTAGCTATTGAGATTGGCCATTTCTGAGTATAGTGAAGAAGGTAAAGTTAAAACATTCTGAGAGAAGGTCATGGAATGTCAGCTTTATCCTGCTTGATAAAAGTTTACTTGTATGGAAGTTATACCAGCCTTGTTCCAAGAATATGAGTTTCAATTTCTTAAAGAATTGTGATTAGAAGAAATAAAAGGTAAGCTTTATTAGCTGTCATCTTTGTTCTTTAAAAAGTCAGGAGTTTTTACTAAGTTCTTAGGCATTTATGTAATATTATAAACCTTAAAAAGCATACTGTTGTTTTCATAGGGTGTATTTTGTGTGAATGCAGAGAACATAAGCATGTGTGTGTGTGTGGTGGAACCAGCACATTAACAGTGAGCTGACATTAAGTTGAACATGAAGGAAATGCTGGAAAAGACCCCAAGTTGATGTGTGACATGACCACAACCAGGTTATTCTCGAATCTTTAATAATAGGAAACTGTGGAGTTTGAAAGGATTAAATGCTTAATACACGAGTTTTAATATTTGGGTGCTAGAAAAGAGTAATTCTTTAGGGTTAACTGTGGTTCCTATACTGCAGACATTATGTTTCTGAAATAGGGTGAACAGATCCAGAGTGGTGTTTTTACATTAGGAAACTTCTTCCACAGGAAGTAAAATGAACAAAGTATGTGTACATTTAATACAATGAAAACTAAAGGGTTAATCCGACTTATTCAGGATCTATTGGTTAAATGTGGAGGGATCTCTACAAGACAGGTAAGTTTCAGTAGGGAATGGAAATGGCTATTGTTAGCACATTGTAAATAAATGTTAGACTTGTTTCTTAGAGGAAAAGCTCTGTCAATGTTGGCATATCCACTGAAGCAATAAGCTGCCTTTAAAGTGCACAAGCTCTCAGGAATCAGCACACTTAGTACATTTTATTCAGCTATAGTAACAGGATTGGTTTGAAGAAACAAAGAATTTTCACAGGAGACTGGTTCTAACAGGTCTAGCCATTCACAGTAAGAGTCCTTGTGATCTGAAAGGGATTTGGAGCTACCCTATAATAGTTTTTCTGAGACTTCACTTGCTAATATTCTGTCTTTTTATCTAAGGCTTTAGATTCTAAAATACCTATCCTAGAAGATTTCTAAGAATCGACTTTTCTGACAGACCACTCTTACATCATTAACACACTTTCCTTAAACTATACAATTTCACCTACCTGATAATCTTGGGGAAATTGAATTCCGCACAGATGAGTCCTGAAGCTGGAGACACACACCAAGTACTAGAAACTGGAGAGGTTTAGCACTGTTCAAGAGACAGCTGTGCATTCTAATTACCTTAATGTCTTTATAAGGCTGGCCATTTCCGGGATGCACATTTTACATCCTGAGCAATAAGATCATCTAAATCACAGGGTTTTTAGTGCTAGTTGTATTATTATTATTGAAGTAAAAGTGAAAATTAAAAATTTTAAACAAAAATTAAAAACAAAAACTTTTACACTTAAAGATGTAAAATCATCTTGCATACTGTATCTGTACACAAGAATAGGGTTGTTGGAGGTCAGCAGATATGAAGCACAAATGGCTAACTTCTTTGATCCTTTTATACATGAGCAGAGCTGCTTTCTGTGCCTTTATGAATCTCAATTTATTCAGGCATAAAAGGGTGGAAAGTTAAATAGACTTACTCTAAATGTTTGTAAACACCAGCCATTAAGCAACCCAATGGCTGTTGAGAAACCTGTTTCTAAGCTTTTCTTAGGAAACAAATCACAATCTTCTCTTATGGTCACTGTTAAGGCTTCTGAGGGAATCTGGGGACCCTGATTGAGACTGCAGGCTTAGATCCATCTCTGGATATATTAGCTAGGGTGTGTATGGACTGTGTGTGTGTGTGTTTGTGTGTATGGGGGAGGGTGGTGGCATGTTCTGCAAACTAGTCAGTAAAAACAGGCAGAATCTGTCCTTGCCACAGTCTGGGAAAACTGAGCAAAAGAAGTTTTTTCCCAAGCAGTAGAGGGCAGATGTTAGCCCATGTACTGTAAGCAGAAATATAGTCAGCTGTGGAAATGCCAACAAGGAAGCAAAAGAGCAAGTATAGGCTTAAGAGATTAAGCAGCACCTGGGGCAACAGCACTGACCTCTGGAACTGGTGACTTTAGAGACTACTGGATCTGACTAGTTTAGCATTTGCTGTATTTACACCTGTCTACCCCATCCCAGAGTGGCTTTTGCAGACCCTTGTCACTTCTTGATATCCTAAATTACAGGAGAAACTAAATGATTGCTCCAAAGATTATGAAGGAAGATAATTTGCCCAAGACCATAGCATCACCAGAGGCCATGAAAGGAATAGATGCTCCTTTCTGTTGTGTCCTACTAGCTAAGTGCATGGCTCCCTCCATGTGTGCCTCTGAGGGCTGAACTGATCCTAATCATCTCAGTGACCAGCATTACACCTGGCTTCTTTTAGGAGCTCCTTCCTAAAAAGTGTATCCTCTGAGGGTCAAGGCATGTACCCAGGTATAACTCTGGGTATTGTGTACATTAACCTTTACTTTGTGATATTTCACACACGTCCTATGAAATACGCTGACCATTTTCAAAGGAAACTCAAGTTCAGCTGGCTAAGATCAATTGAACATTCCCATCTAAGAAGAGACAGTTTTCAGTCCTTAGAAAAAACTGTAGTCCTCCATATCTCAAGGATATCCAGGTTTCAGTAATCCATGAGACACACAGCCAAAGTCATTACAATCAGCTTTTGATCCAGGGCCTAGTTATGTGGTGTACACACCTGGGAACCCCGAACACAGGAAGCACAAGCAGGAGAATCTCACTTTCAAGGCCAGCTTGGGCAGCTGTCACAGCAAGACCTTGTCTCCACAAAACAAAGGCTAGATTCGCAGCTGAGTGGTAGAGCGCTTACAACCATACACAAACCCTATCACAAAACAAAACCAGAAATGAGCGAAGGAATAAAAGGAAAATACTTTTAGTATCTAGTAACTTGTCCAGTGTATATAATTACAGGGAAAGCTGTCTTCACTGTTACATTATCCTGGCAGTCAAATGTCACTGCAAATCTACCAGGCTTAGAAAATCCTTTCAACTTTCAGGTCTGTGCCTCTCAAGGTACATCATTTCCATTTCTCTCTGATAAAAAGAGGAGTGGGTCTAGGTTAGATGGTATTTCTAGCAACTTTTCCCAGTAGGAATGTGCTCAAGGTGTCTGGGAATACTATACTCTGTTCATAGATAGCTTTCAAAAATATGCTACAAAGCTATAATTTAGAAAGCTAGAAATGAAAGGTGTTTTAAGTACATAATGAATAAGGCATACTGTTTTCCATTTTAATAGCCAGTTTAAAGACCTGAATGAATATATTTGTTAAAGCTCCTTTCTGCAGTTTTGATTGTGATTTTCCTAGAACTCTGAACATACTCCTGAGGACTTTTATTTTCATACTAATTCTGTAATTAAATTATCAGCCATCAACACTGTAACTAATTAAGTTACTGGAGGATATGATAATTTTTTTTCTTGTTAAGTTACAAGAGGAAATGTGAAATTCAATTCTGTTAACCTGAGAAGTTTACCTCTACCCAACATGCTTTGTTCTCAAGGGAATCATAATTGCTAGCAAAACATGTGACATCTAGATTTTTTTCTAAGACCACCAAAAAGGTTAACTACTTTGTCCAACATTTCAGAATTTTTGACTTTGAGCCTTTTTGTTTGTTTGTTTTCACAAAACACAAGTACTCTTCAGCTCATGCATGCTGAAAATAGACAGTTTAAAAAAATCTATTGAAGCAATTAACATAGAAAAGTCTAGGAAGTCTTTAAAGATAGCAGTTTTCTTTGTAAATGCCTGTGGTTATGCACATAAAATTAATGCATCAGTTTAATGACTTGATTTTTTTTCCCCCTCCATTGGGGAAAAACCTAGGGCTTCATGCATGCTAGGCAAGTGTTCTAGCCCTCTAGTCCCAGAATTACTTTGTAATTTCTTTTTTGGCTTTAAAATAAACATGAAAATGGATTTTAGCAGAATTTTCATAATCTATATGACATAAACCAAACAAATAGAGTTAGGCAATAATCATAATATGGGCTATTTTCTAAGTTGTTAACAGGATAAATGCATGTTATATTTTGCTTTCCCAGTGTAGTAATGAGAAATTTTACCAGTAGCATATACAATATTTGAATTACTTTTCTATGAAAAATGAAGAATTGCAGTTCAAGCTCTGCTTTTCCAGGGTGAGTGACGGAGACTTCAGGCAGCTGATGAGTGCAATGAGAAGAGACTCAGGAAGCAGGCTTCATTGAGCATCTCATGTAATTGGGGAGGGGCAGGGAGGGAAGGCTATTTAAACCTTTGGGGAGTGGGTAGAGGCTTTTGGGGTGAGTGTATATCATTGGCCAGGGCCAAGGTGCTAGAAATGCCTTATTTGCATGAAGAGGAATTCCAGGTGCTTAATGGACATGAGCTTATAAGGAGAGGGGAAGTTTAACCTGGCCTCAACTATGTGATCACCTCTGGTATGGGCAAAAGTATGTTGGGAGGGAGGGAGAGTGCAGGACTATATGCTCAGGACATGCAGGTCCAGGACAGTGGAGGGAATGGTCCTCACTCTCATTGCTTTTGAGTAGAGATTTCCAGTGTTGTACATGACTTGACCCCATTCCTGCTCCAGACCAGCTCTTCCTGGTTCCAAGGTATCCCAGCCCCACAGAGAATATAGGATTTTTTTTTTCTGTAAAATATAGATCATAGTCAGTAGCTAAATTGGTACACTACATTTTCAAAACATTTTCCA